ACACAGCCCGGCTGGGGGGCCCCGAGGGAGAGGGCGCCTGGCTTTCTCAAAACTGGTCCTTGGGAGCCCTTCTAAACCAAATGGAAAGTCAACCTGTGGGGAGCGGGGGGGGGCAGCTCAGTCTGCAGGAACCCCCTCCCCAAAGAAGAGCCCCCAAGGGCTGCCCCGAGAGAGTGTGAACCTCTCCTCTGCCAGAGGGAGCCCCAGAGCCAGGACCACCGCAGGGCGCGACCCTTGCCAGGGTCCCTCGGCTGGCCTGGGACCGCCCCGGGAGGAACATGTCATGTCTGGATGGCCAACGCAGTGCAATCATCATCATCATCACCAATATCATCTTAGAACTGCAGAAGAACTGGGAGGGGCCCTATGGACCACTGAGTCCATCACTGAGAATCAAACCCCCAACCTTTGGCTCCAAAGCCAGAGGCCGAAACCACTACGCTGTCCAGCCAGCCACGACAAGAGATCCACATCCGAGGCCTCCACGCGGCCACGAAACCCTGGGGGCCAGTCTCTCCCTCGGCTTCTATTGCACAGGGTGGTGGTGGTGGTGGTGGTGGGAAAGCAGGGGGAACCACGCGCACCACCTTGGGATCACGGGGGGGGGGGGGGGAGGGAAGAAAGTTGGGATTATCAAGCAGTTCAGATGCCCCTGTGGTCCCCCCTCCCGCCTAATGTTGCCAAACGGAATGGGTGATTCGCCAAGTTACGCTTCTGGACTCCAACTCCCAGCATGCCCCACTGCCCGGGTGGGTGGCGTATCCCAAGCACACCAGAAAAAATTTACATATAATAAAAAGGCGCGCTCCCTCCAGGCTCTGGAGGGTGGGCAGAAACGGGAGAGCGGACAATGCCTGGAATTTCCCGTAGGCAGCTTATCTGGAGGCAAACCCTGACACCGTCTACCCATCTGCTGGGGGCAAACATCGCTGGGCGCTGCTGTCCCCCCCCCCCGTCTCCTTGGGGGCGGCTGTTTCAGATCTTCTGGGGGAACGAGGGTCACGGTGGCAGCAGAGGAAGAAGCCACGGCTGGCGTGTGTGCGTGCGTGCGCATGGAGGGAGAATGTGGGAATCCTTGAAGAGGGAAGCGAGACTGCGGGCAGGAGGGAGGAAGTGAGACTGTCCGTCCCTCTCTGTCCGTCCCTCTGCCCCCTCCGTCAGCAGCCACCGCCGGCACCACCAACACCGCCATCGCCTCCTCCCCTCCCACCTACCCCCCCCCTCTGCAACCAGCTGACTGGGCTCACAAGGCAGTCGTGCCCGGTGCTCCCCTGTCAGC